ATCGCGTTCAAGTGTGAACTGCCCGCCTAGTAGAGGAATGAGAACCATTCAGCGCCGTCTATGTGTCCAGATGAATGAATCAGATGTAATTTTAAAAAAACGACGCGGTGGCATCTTCATAAATAACTTGAACTTTGGTACATGTAAATGTGTTTTAAGTGCAAGTAGTTGGTGCACATTTGCAAGTAAAAAGTGCATATATGTAAAATCACTTACAAATGCACCTACTTTCACTTACAAGTGCATGTAATTTTGTCTTGTTAACATTCATGCACCTAGGTTCAACTACTTATAACTATAGGTGCATCAAGTTATAACGTCAGGTGCACTTAGTTTTGATGCTCAATATAAATTTTACTTGCACCCGTAATACATTTTACCTGTACTTTGTAATACATTTTACATGCACTGAGGTGCATTATATGAAACTATTACTTGCACTTGTAATACATTTTACTTGCACTTTGATGTTCAATTATTTACGAAATACCACCACAATTTTTTTTTTTATAAAATCAGTGTTTATCTTCCCTTAGATCTGGACATGTGGAGCACACTGATGGGTTCTCAGTTTTCTCCTAGACGACCGTTTGCATGAGAGTGCACCCCTATACATATATATATATATATATATATATATATATATATATATATATATATATATATATATATATATTCAAAATTCTGCTTACAAGTAGTATCAATGCGGTATGGGTTGAATGATTCGCTGATTCTTTAATTGGATGCCTTGAATACTCCATTGAAGGGCCTCCGTAATTCAAATAGCTTGATCTTCAAAGTAGAACTTATATGTTTGTTCTTCGTTGAAGGGCCTCTGAATAGGGCATTGGCAATTCAAGTAGCTTGATCTTCAATGAAGAGCTTACATGTTTGTTCTTCGTTGAAGGACCTTTGAATTCAAATGGCTTGATCTTTGTTCTTTGTTGAAGGGCTTCTGAATTCAAATGACTTGTTCTTCAATAGAGGTTTAATTTGAATCAACATGATTGACATAGTAATATAGTAATATTTTTAGGATTTTGCATGATTTTTCCCAGGATGTTTACATAGAAATGTGAGCTCATATTTATACATAGAAGAGTGTTAGCGGTTCAAACTCTTTTGATATTATCTAATTAAATAAATTAGATAATATCAATATTATCTAAAATATATTCAAAAAATTTAATATTTAAAAACATTTATCCTTATCAAAATTTCAGTGTCAATAATAGCAACTAGTAATTTTTTTGAACTCTAGCAACTAGTAATTTAGCTAAAGTGTTTTTCAATTATAGATTTGTAGGTATAAGTACATCCCAATTTAAGAAAAAATATATTTTACCATACCATGCCAATGGTGTTGGCATCTATCAGTTTGCCAACCTATCTATAAATGAACCTAAGTTGGAGTCATTTTTTTTTAAAATGAAACATAAACAATTAGAATGTTAAAGTTTAGAAAATTTTTAATTTTGGAAATTATGTCATTGTTTCAAATAGATTGTGGTATTTAACTATTTATTAGTAATAATTTACTGTATTACTTTTATTTATTAGTGTAATACTTTTAATTATTAATGCTCAAATTTTGTTCGTTTATTAAACGAGCTTGAAAATTTGTTCATTTATGTTTGTTTACATTAATAATCAAGCATAAAAGATAAACGAATGCTTGTTGAATATGAAAACGAGTAGTTTATCGAAAGTTCTGTTCGTTAACACCTTCAGAAGAAAGGGTAAAAGAAGGTAATGCTGAGGGAAAGTAATTAACAGCACGTTTGGTTCACGGAATGAATTTTGAGGTAATAGGAATGTAATTTCATTAGGAATGAAATAGGTAGGCAAGGAATAGAATATGAATTGTATTCTATTGTTTGGTTTGTGGAAGGAATAGACTTTAGGATTACATTACAGTGTTTGATTGATTTAGGGTCCGTTTGGAAAGCAGGAAAATGACTTCTGGAAAATGACTTCTGGAAAATGAGTCATTTTCCAAAAGTCATTTTCCTTTCTGGTGTTTGGCTGCAAAATGGAAAACTGTCTTTTGGTGTTTGGCTCATTTTCTGGAAATGATATAGAATTGTATAATTAAACATTTTAAATAATTAATTATTTTGTTTAAAATATATAACATTTACAATAATATTATAAATAATAATATTTATTAATAAAATCAAATAATATTATTTAATAAAAAAATTAAAAAAACAAAAAAAAAGAAAACAACAAAACAAAAAAAAAAGGCGGAAACCAGAGAGTTGTACTCTCTGGTTTCCGCCATTCTCTCTGGCTTCCGGCCTGAAAGGCGGAAACCAGAGAGCTCTCTGGTTTCCGCGGCCGGAAGCCAGAGAGAAGATCTCTGGTTTCTGGCGGAAACCAGGGAGAAGCTCTCTGGTTTCCGGCGGAAACCAGAGAGAGCTGGTTTCCGGCCGGAAACCAGAGAACTTTTCTCTGGTTTCCGGCCAGAAACCAGTGAAGGTATCTCTCTGGTTTCTGCCGGAAACCAGAGAACTTTTCTGGTTTCCGGCCAGAAACCAGTGAAGGTATGGTGTTGTTGAAGGAGGAAGTCTGGCTTTGGTGTGTGTGTTTAGAAGATGGAAAATGACTTCCCCCCAAAAAAAGGAGAAGTCATTTTCCGGAAAATAGGTGTGATTTTCCATTGACCATAAGTTGTTTTCCATTGACTTTCATTTTCCTTGCGTAGCCAAACACCAGAAACCCGGAAAATGATTTCCAGAAATCATTTTCCGGGTTTCCAAACACACCCTTAAGGAATAAAAATGAATTATGTTTTAAAAGACATAAATACCCTTATAAAAATATGTGATGGTGGCGATGGTGGTGGTGGTTGTGGTGGCAGTGGCGTTGGTGGCGGTGGTGGCGATGGTGGTGGTGGTGGTGGCGGCGGCGGCGATGATGGTAGTGGTGGTGGTGGCGGCGGCGGTGGTGATGGTGGTGGCGGCGGTGGTGGTGGTGGCGGTGGTGCTGCTGGGGTGGTGGTGCTGGTGGCGGTGGTGGTGGCGGCGATGACAACGATGGCGATGGTAGCAGTGGCGGCGGTGGTGATGGTGGTGGCGGTGCTAGGGTGGTGGTGGTAGCGACGGCGGCAGTGGCGATGGTGGTGGTGGTAGCGATGGCGGCGGTGGCGATGGTGGCGGTGATGAAATAGGAAATAAATTTAATTGGGGGGTAAAATAAGAAATAGAAACTTTAGGCTATTCCCGAGAACTCAGGAATAGCCTAATACCGGGGGGGCCCGGCCCCCAAGAATCTCTATTCCCCTTGCAAGGGAAATAGGTCATTCCCGGGAACAATGTTCCTGTGAATATAAGTGGTTACCAATCAGAGGAAAATGCCTATTACTTGAAATACTATGCTATTACAAGCCTATTTCTTGAACCAAACAGTCTATAAGAGGATGGCTAAGGCTTGGAATTGGGAGGTATGCGTGTAATTATCAAGATACCCCTAAAAGGCAATTGACTAATGAGATTATTGTACTGCTCCCACTTTTCATGATTTTATTAAAATGTTTGGCATGTATTTCAATGTAGATTAATTACTAATGCAACCAACTCTAATTCAACGTACACTCTAAATAGGGACGGAAGTAAAAAATCATATTGAGATGGTCAAAATTATAGATAAAAATTCTAATGTCCCTACTACAGAAAATGACTTTAACTTCGGCTAAATGACCCTATTTAACGTCGGTTATCCTTTGACGTCGACTAAAGAGACGTTGTAAGAAAATAAACGACGTCGGTTATTTAACCGACGTCGTATGTTTTTTAAAATTAGAAAATAAATATACGACGTCGGCTAATAGGCTATTAGCCGACGTCGTATAGTTTTTAAAAATAAAACAATATACATACGACGTCGGCTAATAGCCTAATAGCCAACGTCGTATATTTATTTTCTAATTATAAAAACCATATGGCGTCGGCTAATAGACTATTAACCGACGTCGTATAATTTTTAAAAATAAAATAATATAAATACGACGTCGGCTAATAGCCTAATAGCCGACGTCGTATATTTATTTTCTAATTATAAAAACCATACGATGTCGGCTAATAGACTATTAACCGACGTCGTATATTTATTTTTTAATTTAAAAAATTATACGATGTCGGTTAATAGGATATTACCCGACATCGTGTGTGTGTGTGTATATATATATATATATATATATATATATATATATATATATATATATATATATGTATTTCTAGCCCAACCTGTTGTATCAATTTTCAGAACCTGTGCAGCTAGCAATTTAACATTCAACATCAACTAATTCAAGCTACTAAACATGAAACTAATTAAGCTACTAAAAATATAATTAATATAAATAACACAATGCAACAAAATTAAACTACTAATTAACATCAAACCAATAAACACAACTAACACACCTTAAATGTTTAAACAGCGCACCTTAAACTTTGAAAAGACGCACCTTAAACTTTAGAATGACGCACCTTAAGTTTCAACAAATAACGCATTTTAAGTGTTAAAATGATGCACATTAAGTATTAAAACGACGCACCTCTGTAACTTTCCTTGAGGGAAGTAACACAACAACACTATAAGTATCTATTATTTTAAAAATAATACAAGTTATTTTTTTTGGAAAAAATTATTTATAATAAAAAGAATGAGAAGATATCCAAATCAACATGGAATGAATTAAATTAAAGTACAATAAATTTGAAGTTTGATTGAAATTAGGTGTAAGCTAAGTTTTAAAAGGAGAAGGTCAATTGGCATCTCTAGGGAGCTATGGGTATAATTGATAGAAAAAGTATATTGAACAGATACTACACTGTAATATAGTCGATAGTATACTAAAAGAAAAAAAAAGTGATGGTATGGAAATGTAAATAGTCTAAATTGGGAGGGTGGTTTTGAAGTGAATTGAATCAATTGTTCCCTTCTTGCGCCTATAAATACTCACATTTACACACACTCTCCAATCACCATATATACAACCAAAACCAAAAGCAAATTACAAATATGGCTTCCAAACTCATCCTCCTACTTTCCTTGCTCAGCCTTGCATCCTTCTCCCTTGTCACTTGTCATCGACCTCCGAGGAGGTCCCCACCGCCGAGGATGGTCCCAACACCGTCGATGATGACCCCACCGCCGATGATGGCTCCACCGCCTCGCAGTCAACCTCCGATGATGGCCCCACCGCCTCGCAGTCAACCGCCGATGATGGTCCCACCGCCTCGCAGCAACGGCATATGCCCTAAAAACAGACTACAATTGCATGTATGTGTTGATTTACTACGCACGGTGGGTGCTACAGTAGGCCTTCCCCCCCTCAATGGTTCCACAAGGCCTTGCTGCAGCTTGATTGCTAGACTTGTCGATTTAGAAGCCACTCTTTGTCTTTGCCTAATAGTTAAGGCTAATCTTCCCCAAATCGTGGATGTCAATCTTACTGTCAGTCTTGCTCTCAAAGTTTGTAATCGCAATATTCCTCTAAATGCTATCAAATGTCCAAAATAAACGCCTGCACCCACCCACATTCACAGATGGAATACTAGAATTACACACACATATACATATATATATATCTAAATAAATGAGTTTAGTGAGTGATATGATAAACTAAACTCCTTTTACAGTTACATGTACCGTTATCACAATATATATGAATGAATACCGAAATTACCTATACTTAAAATTTACTTAATCCCCTCCAGTCCTATTTTATTTGTCTAGTTCGACTAACTGATCGATCAACTTAGTGAAAGTTTTTTACAATTCAAATTTTAATGATATTATGTTTACTATTAGTATTTAAAATTTATATATCTAGTAACTACATTAAAAGTTATTATATACAAAAAAAAAAAAAAAAACTAAATTTAAAAATAAAGAGTAAAGTTCAAATTAATCACTGAACTGTACAGCAAAAATTCAATTCAATTCAATAATTGACGATGTTAAATTCTGTTTTGTTAAACGATTTACGAACTATGCCACTCACACCGTTGCAAGAGAGGCAAGTTCTAATGCAGGTTGGGGAGAGTGGTTTGATGTCTCACCTCCTTTCCTTGTAAGTCATCTTCTTCGTGATTTAATGCATTAAGCTTTTCTTCTCATAAAAAAAAAAATTCAATTCAATTATCCAACTCAAAAAAAAAAAAATTGCACATGAAGTGTATATATATATATATATATATATATATATATATATATAAGCTGGTTAGGACAATTCTGGTTCATTGGACGTTAATAATGAATGGTTTAGACTAATGGTAATTATTAGATTATATTTAGGTTATTTTCCGCGCAGGATATAGTTTTTTATTGGGCAGGGGGTATTTGAGTAACGTTAGATTTGTTTTTATTTTTGGTGTTTTTTTTTTTTTTTTTTTTTTTTTCTGTCCATGATACCCGTCTCTCTCTCGCTCTCCTTTTTCAGTTTTGAATTCCAAAAGGTTTCTTCTTCTCTCTTCTGTTGGAGCTTAACGGTAGCATTCATGGCGGACTGAGGCGTTCCCCAGCGAAGTAAACGGACTAGAGACACGGTTGAGGCTGCGAGACGAGGTCTGTTGCGTCGTATTTCTTTGTTCTATTTTTTTCCCGGGTATTGCAATTTCAAATGCAAAATTGTAAAACTTAGCCATGAGAGAGACCGGTTTCGACAATATGTCTATGTTTTCGCTCTACACGGTCATTTTGTTCGTGAGTATAGGCACATGATTGTCTATGATAGATCCCTAATTTTGTGAGAGAGGAACGTAACTTTTTGTACTCGACACCTAAATCAGATTGGATAGATTTGATTTTACGATTAAAGAGTCTTTCAACAAGAACACGAAACTTCTCAAAGATATCATAGAGATCCGATTTCTGTTTCATGAGAAAATACCAAGTAAACCGAGAGAAATCATCAACAAAGAGAACAAAGTATCTATAACCATCAGAAAATAAGAGAGGAGCTGGACCCCAAACATCAGTATAGACTAAATCAAGAATGTTGGAACTAGAAGTATCAATACGTGATAATGGAAAACGAGCAGATTTATCCATTTGACACGCATTACATAGACTAGAACTACAATGAATAGCACTATTAGACCCACTAACCGAACAAAAGGGAAGAACACGACTAAGGACACGATGGTGTGGATGACCCAAACGATCATGCCAGACAGAAGGAGACGCACGAGCTGAAAGAAACACGGAAGGTGACGAACTAGGAACTTGTAGTGTGTATAACCCACTAGAACTATTGCCCCGAAGAAGAATCTCCTTGGTGTTGATGTCCTTCACGACAAAAAAGGATGGGTGAAACTCAAAGAATACTTTATTATTAGCTGCAAATTTTTGAACGATAATAATGATGTAGATAAAGTGGGAACATGAAGTATATTAGACAAATGAAACGACCTAGAGGGGGTTTGAAAAGATGCATGACCAATATGACTAATAAGCAAACATGTACCATCACCGACACGGAGTGTGTCATTACCATTATATTCGTCTGAGATAGAGAGTGTCGCTATATCCGGAGTCACAAGATTCGTTGCACCTGTGTCTGGTAACCAAGTATGAGAGTCCGGTGAAAAATCTGTAGGAGCTCCCTGATAAACCATATTAGCCTGTGGATCTTTTTCATACCGTTTGTAACACGTATGTGCTGTGTGCCCGAAGTTTCCACAAAGTTGACACTTCGGTTGACGATTTCCGTTCCTACCACCACGACCACGACCACTGCCATTCCCGCGACGGCCGCCACGAGACTGCTCGGATTTCTGGACGGAAAAAGCTGTCGGCGACGGTCCTCCATTGCTGACGACGAACTCCTCGGCACTAAGGAGGTCCGAGAGTTCATGAAAGGTCACTGGTGTTCCTCGGACATTGAGAGAAGATACAAGACCCCGAAATTCAGGCCGCAAACCCCGAAATACGTAAAGGTTTTGTTCTTCAAGCGGAAGGTGCCGACCGACGAGAGTTAGATCATCAATGAGAACCTGTGCCCGACCGATATAATCAGTGACGGATGCATCACCTTGTTGCAACGTCTGAAGTTGGCCGAGAAGGTTCAACGAGCGAGACCGAGACGAAGAGGCAAATGCGGAGGTAACGGCAGTCCACACTGCACGGCTGGTGTGATGTCCGATGGCCAAGGACATAACTTCATCATACAACGATGACATGAGCATAGAGAGAAGTGCCTGATCCTGACGAACCCATGGATGATAAGCAAGATTCGGCAGAGGCAGCGCTCCCTCTTCGCCGAACGAGATCGTGGCCGGCGGGCAAGGATTGGTTCCGTTAGATCATGTCCGTTGTGAAAATGAACAACTTGAGCCCTCCAAAATAAGAAGTTCCGATGATAAGCAGGATTCGGCAGAGGCAGTGCTCCCTCTTCGCCGAACGAGATCGTGGCCGGCGGGCAAGGATTGGTTCCGTTAGATCATGTCCGTTGAGAAAATGAACAACTTGAGCCCTCCAAAATAAGAAGTTCCGATGAGTCAATTTGACGCTGATGAGCCGTGGAGAGGGTGGTTATGGTAATTGACAGATCCGTCGACCATTAGATAGAAACCCTAGCTAGCTGATACCAGGTCACGTGTGCGGGCCGATACCTCTTTTGTTTATCGGGTGGCGCGAGGTACGAACCCATGACCTTTGGTCTGGCTCTAATACCAAATTGAAGCATGTGCTACATCTCAACTAAAAACCTAAACTGATAATTGGATTCCACATTTATGTTTATATTATATGCTCAACATAGATATCATACTCGTATTCACACAACATAGAATAAATGCTCTATCGGGTCGGTGTGTGGAGAGTCCTTGGGGTTGGGGATTCAACTTTTTTGGAAAGAATGAATAAGTAAAGAAAAATAAATAGTTAACAGCTGAATATTTCTTTACTAAAGTTTACACTGAAAGAATGCAAGGGTTTTTAAGAAAAGTAAATAATATGCATAATATGCATATGTAAATACCAGGACTATGTGGTCCAATGGTACACGGGTTGGACTTCCATTAGGAAGGTTGTGAGTTCAAGTCTCAGTGGAGGCGTTATTAGCTCTTTGTGTTTCAGTAGGTTGAGAAAGTATATGAACAGATACTACAATGTAATAGAGCTAGTAGCATTAAAAAAAAAAAAAAAATATTTTTATATTTATACGCTTGGCCTACATTTTTCTTACAATACATTTAAAAAAAATGATGTTTTCATCTTTGCATGCTATTTTCCATTATTGTCAATAGTTGTATCTGTTTTGTACTTTTTAATATTTTTTCTGTCCAAAAAATTAATGCTTCGTCCTACCATCGAAGTTCTATGATGTGACAGTTCATTTGTGTAAGATATATTAAATATAATATATATTAAATATAATATATCTATATATTATATTTATATATATTGAGAAGAGAGAGAGAGGAATGTTTTGTAATTTGATTGATGAAAAAAGCTTGAATACAAAGGTTATTTATACTAAAACAATAAAGCTAAAAGTTAGGAAATGCATGTAAGCACTAACTGTCATTATGCCATTATCCCATGAAATGTTGCTGCACACTCCATGTACTGCTCCACGTACTAATTATTATAATACTTGGTTTAATTAATATAATAATAATATTATTATAACATTGTCTCCTTTAAACCAAGTTGGATATATTGGTCATCCCAATTTCTTTCTTCAATTTGAGAAATGTCTCCGTCTTCAACGGCTTCGTAAAGATATCTGCAACTTGACATTCACTTGAACAATACTCAATGTTGATTTGTTTTTCAACAACCAACTCTCTGATTTTGTGATACTTGATATCAATATGCTTGCTGCGACCATGAAAGACTGGATTTTTGGACAACGAAATTGCTGACTTGTTGTCACAAAATATAGTTGTAGGTGCTTCTTGCTCATGTTGTAAAAACTCCAGAATTCTTCTCAGCCAAATTGCTTGAGTAGCACAATTTGCTGCTGCAATATATTCTGCTTCTGCGGTTGAAAGTGCTACAATCTGCTGCTTCTTTGAAGACCAAGAAAATATGGCTGAGCCAAGATAGAAGGCATATCCTGATGTGCTTTTTCTGGTCTCAACATCTCCAGCCCAATCACTGTCTGTATACCCAACAAGCTTCACAGCTTCATTTGTAGAGTTAAAAATTCCATCATTACTCGTACCTTTGACATATCTCAGAATTCGCTTTGCTGCAGTCCAATGTGATTCTTTTGGTTCCTCCATGAATCT